TAGATTTCTTTAATGTTACATATTTTTGCTAGTTCTGTGGTTGCACTTGCTCCTGGAATAATTGGAAGCTTTGGACCTCTTGTGATTCCGAGTCGGAACTAATTTCACTATCATCGGTACATGAGGAATGTCATTTAGAATCCAGTTAGTTGCGCACGTTAAGCATGATTGGTTATTGTGTTAATCTGTCCTTGAATATTGCTCATGTTCTTATCGTGTTCATTGGACGTAGTTGCGGGAGTATATTGATGACACGGAGGATTATGTCAACATACGACTTGACAACCAACGAAATGAACTCATTCAGTTCCAGTTGACATTGAGCATTGCATCGTTTGCGATATCGGTGGAGACTGCGATAGCTGGGGTATTTGGTTTTAACATCCACTGTACAATATTTGACGTTAATGGGATATTTGTGCGGTTTGTTGTGGGTATGGTAGCATTTGCCCTGGCTATCTTCTTTCTCATCTACGGGTATGCGAGGTGGAAGAAGCTGCTTGGTACATGAGTCGAGCCTGTCATCTGTTGTAGATAGTGATAGATTCACAAACTGATTTACGAACCCTAAACCAATGACTTTGTAAATAAGCTTGTCGTTGCAGATGTTGTATGAGCACAAGGAGTTTGTTAGGGACTCCTAAAAGTCTTCCCTTGCTCAATATCATTTGTACCTCTAAGTAAGGAACATCTTGTGGGGCCCAATCTACAATGGATTTTGGCGGTTGGGCCGTTTAGGGTTTAGGGTTAAGGATATGTGAACTATGTTTCGTTGTTGAAAGAAGAGTAAGTGTTGCTGAAGGGCTAGATTGGTATTGATGTGCTTTTTGAAAAAAAAAATTGTTTATGCTATGTTGTTTGAATAAATAACTGTAAAATAAAAGTTGTTGAATGTTTGGTAAATAATTTTTTTGTAAAAGTGTTTTTAACAAAAATAAAGAGTGTTTGGTTAACTTTTATATAAATTGTTGTGAATAATATGTTAAATGACTAAAAAAGATATGGTATTTAATGTGATACAATAATTATCAAAGAGAAGTGTAGGGGCAACGATTGTAATTTTGTAAAATATGTGAGGGTACACTTGTCGTTTGAAAATTTTATTAAATGGGCACTGATTACTATGTTTTGAAAGAAAAAAAAAGGTTTTTTTAGAAGCATGGCAACCCTGCTTATTTCTATACTTTTCTACTATTACTGACAACAGTTAAAAAAAAACATTTTTTTTTTGTTTTACCAAACACATTTGATATTCTAAAATTTTAATAAGCTGCTTTGTTTAAAAGCACCCAAGCCAAAACCAACCCGAAATGCAATCACAAATGCATAATTATCAATCATAGGTTTCAATTTCAATTATTAAGACTGATGTTCATTTGTGATTGGTTTTTTAGCAGCACTTGCACTGAATTTGTTGTCTTGTTGATGAGGAATTGGTTGTCTTCCCTCATATGCTTTTTATGTGCCAACTCCTCTAATGTTGTTAATTAATAAATGTCGTTGTCAAAGAGAGAGGATTCTTGCCGGATCCTCTTTGTGAGGATCTCAAGGATCCTCCAATCACATTCGTTCATCATATATCGTGCAGCCAATTTTTGTCAGGTACTGTTTATATGCAATTTTAAATAAAAAAAATTTACAATAATTTATGACCACACGATGTACGACGAACGGATATGATTGGGGGATCCCTAAGATCCTCACAAAGAGGATTAGGCGAGGATCCTCCTGGGTTGTCAACAACTCACTAGTCACTCCACATTGTTCTTTTTCTACTTTGCACCAAAGGAAATGCTTGTATGCAATAAAGTTAGATAACTCCACAAAGAAAAGTTAAAATGGCCCTCCCTCCTACTATTACTAACATTCTAAATATGGAGATTAGGGTTTATAATAATATAAAGGGAAGTGTTATTGACACTCCAAAAATCTCATTCTACACTCCTCACAATTGTATTTTTCTTTCATAATATAGAAAGTTTGGAGTGTAGAATAAGATTTTTGGAGTGCTAATAACAATTCCCTAATCTAAATTATTGATTGAAGTGAATATTATCAGTTTAATTATTTTCAAAGAGAAAACAGAGTTAAATTTGTTTTGTGAATATCGAAATGGTTCATTATAAATTTAAAGGGACGTTTGATAATTGTTTTATTTCTAATTTTAACATTTTTTTATAAAATATTAAAGTGGAAATGGTTAACAAAAGTGCTTTAGGAGTTCGCCATTTTATTTAAGATTTGAGTAACCTTTAAATTTCTAATGAACTAAATATCAACAAGACAACGAAATGACTAGGTCACTAGTTGTTTACCATTAAATTATAAACCAACATGAATAAAAATAGTTCTGATATGCCTACCCCATGCTCTTATTTCTCCATTTACCTTTTAATGAAAATTTTAATATCGAATTTAACTTTATGTAAAAAGACTTTAAAAGCCTTGTTAAAAATTAATCTTCTTACATATTTTTTGTAGTCAAATAAAAAAAAATCAAAAAATTTAAAATAAGAAACGAATCAAACCAGCCTATTTGTCTCTTCATTCCTCACTCCTTTCTTACTTTTTCACACCCCCCCCCCCCTCCACTTCTGTCTCTTCCATCCACCCTACCCACCTCAAATTCCATCTCTTATTTTCTCCCTACTTTTCAACCCTTAATTCTGAATTGGAATTAGGGAGTAAATATGGATATGAGATCTTAAATCCAGATTTGGTAGGGGGAGAAAGATTCAGATAGACAGGAAGAGAGAAAGAAGAAGAAAAAAAAAAGGAAGGTAACTTTCCCAGCATCAAAGAGAAAAGGAGTTGTCGTCGTCACATGTGGTGCCTGGTTGTGATTGTTTTCGCTAGATTGCGCGGAAATGTTCATGGATATTCTATTTCCTAAAATCTCCCAGATTCAATCATTCTTTATATTTATTTTATTTAGAACTTAAAATGTTATGGATATATCATTCAGTACTACGGTATGATGATATTCCTTTTCACTTGAAAAGTCAAATGTTTTAGGTTTGAATCTCGTGAATGGCGAATTTGATACCAAATTAGGTGGCTCATTGTGTGGTTTAGCTGAACTCCCCCTCCCCTTAATTTAAAAATATCTATGTACTAAAAAATATGTTATGGATATTTAGGAATATAAGAGGGGTAGGAAGAGAGTGTTTGGTTTTTTAAACGTATTGTAGTGGATGAAATTATAAAGTTGGTAAAGAAATAAGACTATAGTGTAGGTTGTGGCCATAGTAGCTGTCTAAAAATATTATTTTATTATAATTTGACTGCTTAAAAATGCATTTGACTTGCCACTCAGTACTACGGTCTTGTGGTATTCCTCTTTACTAGTAACTGAGAGGTCTTAGGTTCGAAACTCGTGGATGGCGAACTCGATACCAAATCTCGTGGATGGCGAACTCGCGAACTCGATACCAAATCTCGTGAATGGCGAACTTGATACCAAATTAAGTTGTTCACTGTGTGGTTTAACCGAATCCCCCTTCCATTAATGTAAATATACGTAGTTGTACTAAAAAAAAACATTTGACTTCTTACTAAAGTTGCTTTTTATGGTAGCAATTAGCAAATGACCCTTCTCCAATGTACAGATACAAATTTGATATGTACAAGTCATATTTACATCATATTTTATATTTTCGAAAGATGTAGATTCTAGTCCTACTTTAAGGAGAGAGATGCAAATTTAGGATTCAATTTATTTTTCTCTCTTAAACTGGCGGGGTCCACCTCCAAAATATGTTAAAAAAATATAAATTTTCATTTACATTTACCTATTCCGCCCTAAATGGGTGTTTTTCATCTTTCCCACTAGAGAGTTTTCTTACAAACAAAAAATGTAAAATGCTCATTTTAAGAGATTTTTCATCTTCCACTAGAGATGTTTTAACGAGTTTTTCCTTTAGAGATGTCCTTTGCTTATTAAAGTTAATACTATGTTTAGATGAGTAAAATAAACTTAAAATTTGAACAAAGTCAAAATTTATAAATTGATATGCACAAATTCTCTTTGTTTGGATCATAAACATAAAAATTTAGAATTTTTGCGTGAAAAAAGAATTCTAAATCTGGGACATCCTGTTCACAATTTTAAATTTAATATAATTAGCTGTCATTTCCATAATTTTTATGAGTGAGAGTTTAAAAATACAAAATAAAAAAAAAACTCAACTATGAATGGACACCACCACCACAAGTCACCACACCACCCACCATCATGGTTGCCACCACTACCACCACATACCGTTGTCTCCCTCGTCACTACCTCCGCCACCACCACCCGCCATCATCAACATGGTCTTCACCACCCACCATCATTTATATATTAACGACTTTATACACACATTAAATTACCTATTTAAATTTATTGTTCTTTTAAGTTAGCCAAACAATAAAATTTATAAATTCACAAAATGACCATTTCAATTTCCGTTATTGTACAAGTCCATAGTAATCTAAAACTTTCTCATCCAACCGCGGTGTAAAAGTCTAATTTTGTGTACATAATAGTCTAATCATTAGTTGGTGGTCTAATAATATTTTTCATTCACATTGTTTAAAAGAGATTTGAGATCTTGGACTTGGCTACCATACCCACCTAAGAAAGTTATCATAATGTATAAATACAGTCAAATATATGATAGTCTCTTTTCTAACTTCACATTTAAACGTTGCATATTGAATGTTTAAGTAAATATATGGTCAACTCTTCAATTTAAAACTATTTTCGGCAATATACATACAGACATCACCATACGACAAACTAAGTTGTGTCATTGTCACACGGTCACGGTTGCACCCTTTTGTCGTATAGAAATGGTTTTTTTTTTGTTGAAAAACAAAAACTCTAAAAAAAATGGTTATAAAATGTGAATTTTCTTTGTGGTTTAACACCTTTAATCCCAGAATAGTAATTTTAGGTTGACAAAAATGAACTGGAAAGGGAGAATAAAAAGGCACCACTTGCAAAAGCTTGGCTGTGCATCCAAAACTTCCTTCCAGGAAACCGAGTGAACAATTTAATTTCACAAGTAAATACTTTAAGAAAAAAGGACAGAACAAAATATAATTTCAATCCAACCCCCAGACATCGACCAGAAGAAATACTAGAGAGAGAGAGAGAGAGAGAGAGAGAGAGAGAGAGGAGGAGGAGGAGGAGAGAGAGAGGAGAGCTTCTTCTTCGAAGACAAGAGGGGAATCAAATCATTGATTAGAAACCCCAGGACAGAGAAACAACTCTGCTTCTTCGATCATTGCGTTTCAAGATCTCGATTGTTCGTTCAATACAGGTGACCAAATACATAGACGTATATAGATATATATATATATATATATGTTTGGGTATGTGTATTTTCTCAAAACAAAGAAAACAATTTTAGCTTTGCGTTTGTGTTTTGGCAAATCAGCAGCTGATTGTTTTTTAACTTTGCTGATAATCGCACACATTATCACCGTTTCGTCAAATAAATCACTTGATGATTCTCTTTTCATTGCAAATGGTGGTTTTTATTTTAGGGCTCTTTCTGTGATTTTTCGTTTTGGGAATTTGTGAGATTCGTTGTGTGTTTGGCTGCTGAGAAAATGTGGGAAAATGAAATGAGCTTATGGGTTTTGAATCTGGGAAAATTTTCATTATTTGGGACTGAGAAACCATAATCCCTCACCTTAACCAACTGTGATTAGGACCTCATTTTTTTAGGAGATTCAATTCAATTCAAAAGTTTCGATCCTTCTCTTTTCTCTTCTTTTCATGTTTGCTTGAGAAACAAATTTGAGGGCTTGAGTCAGTAGTGCGTGGTGATTGGGAATTTGTGGCGTCTTCATTGCCACAGTTAGCCTTGTGGTTCGGCCCTCCGATTATTTTAGAGTGGAAGTGTACTTGGTTGTATTTTATGCAGAGAAAACAGAAAAGATGTCAACTTTAGTTTTGTGTTAATTTGGGTTTTGGATGTTATTGTGATGAAAATGGTTTCTACTGCTCAGAAAGTTAGGTAGGTAGTTGTCTAAGTGTTGTCCATTATAATGTATTTCTATGCTATGTTGACTGGCTTATCTGTGTTTTAAGCATGTGCATGTTTTGGTTTCAGACTTGTATGTCTAATGATTCGTATTGATAATTTGAAAGTTTCCAGTAGGCGTGTTCATAAACATATCCATTGATGTACCTGTGTGTTCATGTCAGCATGGAGAAGGATATTAGTAGCAGAGTTATAGTTATTACATCTTCTTTCTTTTTGCAAGTGTTTTAGTAGCAAGTTATTGACTTTAACCTATGTTTTGCTTTTCCTATTCTCCTTTGTTGATGGTGACATATTTATCAATTGGCTTATCAACACTGTGCTTGCGACCTTCTCCCCCCTTTTTAGTTGTAAATTTGTTTTCCATGTTAAATACCCTTTCTGTCTCTGTCATCTTACACTATATGATTGAACAGGGACTCATTGTGCTTCAGCTATGGCAAACTCCAAGGGTTCATCAAATATCAGAAATTTTATGTATTCCGGAAAGCATCCTTTACTTCCTCCTAAAAGTCCATTACCTAGTGTTCCCCCATCATATGCAGATTATGTCCTTAGTCCTGCAATTGGATCAAAAACTGTTCAGAAGCCTAGGGAGGGAAATGCACATCACCAGCGGACTTCCTCAGAGAGCCTACTTATAGAGGAACAACCTTCTTGGCTTGATGATCTCCTTAATGAGCCGGACACACCTATACGCAGAGGAGGTCATCGTCGTTCATCAAGTGACTCTTTTGCATATGTGGATGCAATTAATGCTTCTAACCTTGATTATGCCACTCAAGATGATTACAAATATCATAATATGATTTCTGCACTCTCTTGGGGATCCCAAGACCTTGATCCTCGAAAAGATTTACGACATGCTTCATTATACACAGAACTGAACTTGGTGAAGCAGAAGAATAAGGCATGGGAGTCTTCTTTGAATAGTGTAAATAACCTGAACAGCCTTCCTTCTGTCAGGGATAACATTGTTCTTCAGAGTTCAGGATCATTATCTACACCACAAGAAGCTGATGGGATTGCCTCTACAGCGAGTGAAAAGCATGATCATGTTGATTCTGGTCTTCATGATCCAAAGTCTTCTTCTGAGAGAAAGGACAATTCCAATGCTAAGCCTTATGCATCTGAGACTGATGCAAAACGTGCTAAACAGTATGTAGTTTCTTTAGTATTTTCCCTATACTTTAACTCATTTTATCTTGATACCAACATAGCAACATTAATCTCACATAAATTTTGGTTGTCTCTTTTACCTGCCTCTACTTCTTCATTTTTTCCTGGTTGTTAAGTAGGTTTTCCAGATGAATTTATTTAGTGTTTCTTTGTGCCCATACTCATTTTACCTTATATCAACATAGCAAAATTACTCTTACATAATAGGTTGTCTCTTTGATCTGTCTCTACTCTTCTTTATGTTGTTGCATATGTACTCCAGATGAAATATGCATACACCCTCTCACCCTCGATTTATTCCAAAATACAAAATTTGAGGCTGCTTTACAAAAGTATTTACTGTAGTTAGAATGCATATAATTTCGTTTAGATTAGAATTGTTCCCTTAAATGGATCTATGTGATGACTAGCATAATGAAATGCAATTAATGGGAAAGAGCACTTGGATAGATGAAATAAGGATTATGGTACTTTTCTGTTTATGGTACGGATACACGAACATAAACTTCCGATGCTCTTTATGTGGTATATAGGGGTACTTTGTTGCTTCTGTGCAACTTGATTACTTAGTGCGCTTCATGTGTTTGGGAATTGCATTGTTACATTTAGGTTGCAAGTGTGCAACTTCAAGTGCATCCATACAAGCATGCACAAATGAATAAAACTTACATGCAAGCACATCACATTAATATACTGCAAGCTTTTAAGTAGCTAAATTTGCACAAATTTGTTCTTTATTGGTACATGTCGGTAATATATTATGAATATGAGTAATTTTAGTCTATTTACTTTAGATCACCTGATTTTAGGCATGACGTTGAGTTGTTGACCAGTATGTGGCCCTGAGTATTAAGCTGAGCAGCTATATAACATTGTAAATTAGTCGCAACTACGTATGAGACGTAGCTTTATATACTTTTCTGATTTGGGAAGACAGTACAGCATGAGGAGCGTAATGTGGAATACTACCTATCATCTGTTTTGTACTAATGGAGGAGCATGTATGCTAATTTAACAGTTTTAATTTATATAGTTTAGTTTTCTGGAGAAGTGGAGGAAGACAGTTGAAGGATTGGACTAGGACTGTCCCTTTGCTTTTAATAATTTGAATGCTGGCTTGTTCAAATCTTGAGAGTAATTCACTTATGGCCTCTCTCCATAAATTTTAAGTTAAATTTCCACAGATTTCTTTTCAACTGGACTGGAGTGAAAGAATTTTCGTAAACCTCAATAAAGTTTTAATGCAAGAAGTTTTCCTAGTTGTTTTACAAACTAAGATGTGAATACTCTAGACTCATAGTTATCAACTGGCTCTTCTTAGTGACTGCATAACCGGGGTAATTCATTGGGACTGTCTATCTCTTCTTACCGGATATCATTCTTGAGCGTGCAAGGGCAAGAAGGCCAAGGTAATGTGGGGTTGCCTGGTCTTGGCGGTGATATGGTTGGTTTGGATGGAGAGAGACAGGGAGATTTTTAAGCTTAAGATGGATTGTGCTTTGAGGAGCTATGGGACAGAATTTGTTTTCGGTCAGCACTTTGGGCTTTTGTTTCCTTGAAGTTCAGAAATATTCCTTTATCCCTAATTTGGCTTGATTGGAAGGCAGCTACTTATTTATTTTGCTCTAGGGTGTTGTTTGGATTTTCAGTTTTTAGTCTTGCTGCTGTTTTATTTTTCTTGTTTGTGTGGGTCTGGTTGTTTCGTGTGGATCTTTTTTGACCGCTCCTTTGTTTTTTTGCCCTTTCTCGGGTTTATTATAATCATTTATTTCTCAAAATAATTATCAACTCGCTCTGTAGCTAATGCTGATGTTGGGTTTAATATAATCATTTCCTTGTAACAGCACTAATGGTCATAAGTCTAGAAACTTGACTGGTGTCTTCTTGAATTGGAATATTTAATAAATATTTTATGGAGACTAAATACTAGTTATTGTATTTGTAGGCAATTTGCTCAACGTTCACGGGTTCGGAAACTTCAGTACATAGCAGAGCTGGAGAGGAATGTACAAGCTTTACAGGCAAGTGTCAGCAAAAGCTGGAAGTACTGTATTTAAGTTTGAATTGGGTTTTATACTGAGGTGTTTTATGATAATTTATCATTGACAATATTGTTCCTGCATGTTTTACTCCACAGGCCGAAGGGACTGAAGTTTCGGCTGAGCTTGAGTTTCTCAACCAGCAGAATATGATTCTGAGCATGGAGAACAAAGCCCTCAAGCAGCGCTTAGAAAGTATAGGACAGGAGCAGCTTATCAAATACTGTAAGCTTCTACCTTGAACATTCAAATTTTCATAATCTATGCATCTTCAGCTTCATCTGTTACCTGAATTTGGAGAATATGTTTAGAGTAAAATCAGAACTATGTATTAGCTGAAAAAGTTATAAGCCTGAAGCCTTTCTCAAAGTACTTGATTCACCTCATACCTATGGCAGTCTGAGGATGATTGGAACTCAAATGAAGAACTATGAGAAACTATGCTGTGAAGATCTGGAGAAAATTTGATAACACATAGGAAATGTTAGTCTTCAGCATAGTATTTAACAATTTGAGGGCGGGGTCCATGTGGATTTTGTAAAAGCCTTGGGTTTGGATGATAGATGTTTACCTACCGTCAATCTTTTATCACCTGAATACCTGGATTTTTGCTATAGTGATATAATACCATGTTTAGCAGTCTTGAAAGTGAAGTTTTATCTGATCAACAATACACATGTTGGGGACTTTAAGTCTGAACATTTGCATTTAAAATGAATGTGAACGCCCTCTACAGGGCTACCTCATAATGTAGTTCGACGATGGGAACTATATTTGTTTTAAAAGATTAGACAGATAATGCTGTTTAGTCATCTAAACTGTGCAGACAAACACAGTCCATCACATAAAACTGAAATGATCACAATGGTAATCAATTTGCTAGCAATTTCTGGGTTTTATCTGTTTTTTTTGTGTGTAGATGATTCTAAAAGAACTGCCAAATGGATGTTTCCAGTCATTATTTCTTAAATGCAAAAATTCTCACCTGAGGGTTCTTTCAGCCAGTCATTGTTAGCAATTTCTGGGATTTAGAACGCCCACGTATCTGGCAGCGGTTTTCACTTATATTTTGTGCCAAAAGCAGAACTTTCCTTACCCCTTTTTGGTATTCACTATTTTATAAGGTGACTAAGATTTGTTTTTCCATTTCCAGTGGAACAAGAATTGTTGGAGAGGGAGATTGGGAGGCTACGAGTCTTGTATCAGCAACAACAGCAACAGCAACAGCAGCAACCTTCTTCAAGCCATAGACGCTCTAACAGCAGAGACCTTGATTCCCAATTTGCAAACCTGTCTTTGAAACACAAGGATGCAAATGCAGGTCGTGACCCTGTAACAGGCGCACTTCGCATTTAGATATGCAATGTAGCCAAAAGTTGTGTTTTGCCTCAACTTTTCTTCCACTGATCGATGTTGCCAATTGCCATGCCTGACCAAGTTTCTTGCTTCCCTGGTGCGGGATAAGGCTGAGCTATTCCACTCCCAGCGCCTTCTCTCTCTCCTCACTTTGTGCGATTTAATTTCTGTTTATTGCCCTTGTCTGTTAACGTCGGTGCACCTGGTAGCCAATTCCCAAAGTAAGTTCTACTTGGGGCAGTTGACTTACCGGAGGTGGTAACTCAAAGCAGGTTCGGTATTTCAGTCGTTATTATGTATGTCTTAAGTAACCATTGATTCATAAAATGTTGTATGTTCCATTTTTTGCCCGTTGCAGATTTCGACATAGTACAAAAAGATGGGCTGATTGGATGTGCACTAGTTGTAATGCATGTTATGGTAGCAAAAAAATGTGTACTTGTAAAATGTTTCAAATGAAATCCTTGGTTTCTTTGATTTTGTTTGTCGGTGTTGATAGAATTGAGTGGATGCACATATAGCACCTGTTCAGAATTTTAGTTATTTTTCTGCGCAGTTCTCGTATCCCATGTCAGCATATTGGACGGAAAATTTGACGATGGTTTCGACTGTAGGAGATAAAGTAGGCCACAAACCTTCCCCTCCTCTTATGGCACCTTATGTAAAGGTAATCGGAATTCGGAATCGAATTCCGATCATAGAATACTTCAGTGTCTACCAAATATTGGGGAATCAAAATTTGGAGGGACTCGTGCGAATTATGGAATCCAACTTTAAAATTTGGAAGAATCGAAATTCCTACATTTAGGTCGGAATTGAATTCCTGGTTGTTGGGGAAGTCTGGATATATTTTTTCTCCTTATTATACCTCACTTATTTCTAAAACTAACTAGCACATGGGCACACACAGTGTGTGAGAATTTTTTTTATTTGGACTTCTCTATGCAGCTCTATCGCCAAAAGCCTCTTCAACTGCCCATCTTCTCTTATATTCTCCTCAAGTGCATCTGCTTCATTTCATTCAAACTATTCAAAAAACATCATGATTTCACTTACTTGTATGAAAAAAAATGATGATGGGGCAATTTCTCTTAATAAACGCATATTTTATCTTAATATTACATAATTACTGTTTTGTCATCCTTGTGTAAATATTATGTATCAAAAGTGGGAGTAAAATAAGAAAATAGGGATATGATTGTCATTTTCTCGAAAGATATAAAATTCCTATTTTGCCCTCCTTATGTAAGTATTGTGGATCAAAAATGAGGGTAAAATAAAAAAAAAAAAAGGCAAAAATTTGACAAGGAGGGTTTTCTTAATAATAGTATAGATTCTTAGATTGCCCTTCTCATTAACCCAATGCCACCAACCGCTGCTCAGTTTAATATCAAAGTAAACATTAACAATAACCATAATTTATATACAATTAAATAATTGAATTTCACTGTGTTTAATATTGGGTGAAAAGAGGCATTTCACATTTTTTTTTTCTATTACTTTGTAGATAAGATTTAATAGAAAAAGATTTGGTATATAAAATAATGTATTTCAAGTAAGAGCATTTTAGTAATTACATTAATTTTCAACATAAATATTTATTACATTTTGATAATGGATAAAAATATTCATCCGCAACTAAACATCTTCACCGGCGGTGGCGAAAGAAAATATCTCTTACAATTTGATAAAAGCCCGAAAAATAATGCAACATAAATATTTGTTATTAGAGGAAGAACACAACAACAATTACACCATAAAGTTTCTGCACGTACTAATTAAAAGCTATTTTAGGAACCAAGAAAGAAGATGGCAGCTATTCCCATGCTCAGACAGAACCAATTCTCTTTCAGCGTACCACTTCCTCCGCGTTTCTCCCCATCTGTGCTGCAACTCTCTTCGAGTGCAGGTCCACAAAGTTTATTACCAACGTATGTAGACAAATCAAAGCTCTGAAGTTGAGTGCCTCGTGGAATCGGCCCTGTCAAATTGTTGTAGGACAAGTTAAGGTGAGAAAGAAATGTCAAATTCGACATGCTCGGAGGAATTCCACCGGAAAGTTGGTTCTTGGACATATCAAGAGCTTCTAACCTTTCCATTTCACCCATCTTTGATGGGATTCTTCCGGTCAAAAGATTGTTCGATAAATTCAATGATAGCAACCCGAAGAGGCTGGTCAGTTCCTCAGGTATCTCACCAGATATATTGTTGTGTGAAAGATCCAAGCTAGTTACCAATCTAAGCAAACGGCTAAATCTCTGTTCTCTACCTTTTGCCACCAAGATGGCATTATCCATGTACATGCCATAAAAACCATGAATGTATCTGAAGAATGAAAATGAATTGCTCCAATCTAACTTGTTGGTCATGGCTTTAAAATTAGAGAAACATGTTGGTATCGTTCCAACGAGATCATTATGTGCAAGGTCCAAGATTTGAAGCTTTACGAGACCGCAAAGTTCACGAGGAATGTCGCCGTGAAGCTTATTTGAACGAAGGCTAAAAACCATCAATTGTGAAAGGCTTTTCCCTATCCACGTCGGTATGCTTCCATCAAAATCATTTTCTCCAAGGTCAACTAGTACCAAGTTCCTGCAGTTCTGTAGGGACAAGGGCACTTCTCCAAAGAAGTGATTATTGCGTAAATGCAGTGATTGAAGGAAAATTAAGTCTCCGATGGTGCTTGGAATGTTCCCCGTCTAATGGTTGTCATCTAAATTGATGACGATCAAGTTTTTCCAATTCATCCAACATTCAGGAAGTTCTCCTGTGAGATGATTGTTGCGAAGATAAAGGTTTGTCATTTGCTTTGATTCATCCATCCTGTCACAAAAGAAGTGAAAGAGGGACCCTGAAAAAGATGAATTGGAAAGATCGAGCACAGCTACTGTAGACGATACAAGAGGTAAAGAACCAGTGAACTTGTTGGAACTTAAGTCGATTACAGCTGAAGGAGCAGTAACTATTCTTGGAACCTGACCATACAATTGATTGCCAGAGAGATCCACCAAACTTAATCCCAGATAAGAAAAATTCCAAAACCATATCGGAATGGTACCAGAAATTCCTGTATTTGATATGCTTAGCTGTTCCAAGTACTTTTGACTCCGAATCCAACTAGGCAACTCTGGCCCCAGATTCCAAGAATCTAAGAACAACACATGAAGTCGAAAAGGAGGAAGCCACTCTCTACTGGTTTTGAGAGTCAATGAATTTCCATTTGCAAAAAGCTCCTGCAATCGTGAAAGATTAGTAAAATGAACTTCAGTGACATCACCCTTCATTGAATTATTAGAAATGTCTAATATTTTCAAGAGTGACAGATTTTGTATCGACTTTGGAATGGGACCAGATATTGAATTACTGGAAAGATTAAGGTAGCTTAGATTTTGAAAATTTCCGAGCTCATCTGTTAACTGACCGGAAAGATCATTATAAGATAAGCTGATGGACTCTAGTTGACTTGAAGTAGTACACCGAGATAGACTTTTGAAGATTTCTGACGCCCTTCCACTAACATGGTTCCACGACAGATCAAGAAACATCAACTTACAGAGATTTTCAAATGAATTTGGGATTTTCCCTCCAAGTTGATTATGACTCAAGTCAAGATTGACGATGGCTTTCACACGTTGAAATTGGACCATGCAAGTCATTGTCTGAGAGAAAAAGGGATTCGAGATGGCTCAGGCTGTACAGCCATTTAGGTATGGTTGAATTGATAGAGTTCCTCTCGAGGTTTAGAACTCTAAGAGAAGCCATGTTCGCAATGCCACCTGGTATGCGATGAAGTCGACAATCAGACATATCCAAGTACTCAAGCAAAGAATTAGAGACCATGTTTGTCTCCTGGATCGAATCAGATGCTTTGCTAAGATTAACACCACTCAGGTCCAGGTGTTGCAACATAGAAAGACCAGATATCCACTGGAGGTTATTAACCTCAAAGTAGTTACCATGGAGATCGAGATAGCGTAGACTAGAGAGATTCCCCAGCTGATGAGGAATTATTCCCTGAAAATTTGCTTGTGAGGTCAAGATGTCTTAAACTTGTAAGAGAACCAAAGAAGTTGGGAATCAGTATTCCGTCAAAAACGTTGTTGCTCAGTGTTAGGAATGTCGGTACTACAAGATAGAGAATGCACAAGGTAAAGTAGAAAATGGACGCCAAGAATTTATGTGGTTCGGCAATTTATGCCTACGTCCACCAAACAAGGAATCTTCACTATATGAAAAAGATGAATACAACAAGAGTAGTCTTACCAAGCCAAAGACAAGGCTTGATGGATACAAGAAAGTATAACACACACTTTCTATCACTCTAAACTTCACTCACACAATGTGTAGTGGAACACTCTCACTCTCACTCTCACTCTTGGAGTGGAACTCTAGCTTTGGACTTGATCCTTTGCTACTCACTCTTTCTTGGTTCTCAATTGGTTACATCACACCCATATTTATAGGTGAGGGCTTGGCATTCTACTAGTTTCTAGTTCCTTCTTCAAACCTCTAGTATAGAAAAATCTAGACTAGCCACATACTTGTAGCTTCTAGATCTTTCCATTTGCAACCAAGGAAGCTAGTACTCTCTAGCTTCTTCCATCAACTTAATAACATGCTAGAATTGTCTAGCAAGCTCCAGCCTCATCTCTTGCTTACTAGAATAATCTAGAACATTGATCATGGGCTGGACCATATACCAACAATCTCCCCCTCCAGTCCATGAGGGAGGAATTCCGATCATGACTCCAAGTTACCTGGAGTTCATCCCAGCAGCCTTAATGCAGAATTCCAACTTTGATTTTGTGACTACCTTTGTCAACATGTCTGAAGAATTATTATCGGTATGAATCTTCTTCAGCTGTAGCAACTTGTTCTCGATAGCGTCTCTAATCCAGTGATAACGAATATCAATGTGCTTAGTGCGTGAATGATATGTAGTGTTCTTACTCAAATCCAGAGCACTCTGACTATCACAATAAACGCCATAATCACTTTGCTTCAAACCCAACTCTTGGAGAAACTGCTTCAGCCACAACAACTCCTTGCATGCTTCTGTAGCGGCTATGTATTCAGCCTCGGTTGTGGACAAAGCAACGCACTTTTGTAACTTGGATTGCCAAGACACGGCTCCCCCTGCAAAAGTAAACAAGTACCCAGACGTAGATTTTCTACCATCCAGGTCACCTCCCATGTCAGCATCTGTAAATCCTTCCAAGATTGGTTTGGAACCGCCAAAGCACAAGCACATCTTAGAAGTCCCCTTCAAATATCTGAGAATCCACTTAACAGCTTCCCAGTGGTCCTTCCCTGGATTAGAGAGAAACCTGCTCACCACACCTACTGCATGAGCAATATCTGGCCGTGTGCACACCATTGCATACATGATACTTCCTACTGCTGAAGAGTAGGGAACAACTGCCATTTTCTCCTTTTCTTCATATGTTTTTGGACACGACTCTTTGCTCAACTTGATATGA